TGAGTAATTGAACTGCAGTCAGAGAGTGTGTAATTGAACTGAGTATTGTCGAGCACGAGCACATGAGAATTATAGCGTTTGTTACAGAGCGACTGTTGAAGTTGAGTGTATCGTAAAGTTGTATTTGGAAAGAATAAACCGGTTTTATTAAGAAAGGGCTCGTGTCGCTAAAGTTTCGTCGGAATGAAGTTACGAAAAATCAACTAACGAACAGAGACGTAACAATATATTGTTACGACAGCGGAAGTCACGCGACGCTGGAAGCATGCGCGCTGGAGTTTCTAGAAGAACCATGTCTCTTCCTGGCAACTCTAGTCTTTTCTACGCGCCCTCTATTTTAGTATATAAGCAGGCAAAAAAAAACGAGATAATTAATTGAATTGCAGACAGGCAGAGATAGAGACAAATTAACAAACGAACACAGACGTAACAATATATTACTAATGGTTACACTTCGTCATGTTAAAGAGGTAAGTATAAAGCAGTTAAACACTATGCGGAACAGATAAAACCTCGTACATTTTGGTATCACCAAGAGCTCCTTATAGAATAGTCAAGGAAAATAACGCAATAGTTAAAACTGAGGCACGTAATAACCATCCCAGCAAAGCTAACCACGAGACCTTACACTAAGTGTAACTTACAAGTTGCAGTCACAGCGAACTCGAGTCAATTATGTAAAATAAACAAACAATGAAGTTTCTGTTGGCTCCTGAATAATACAAAAACGAACCTATTACTAGAAAACATAGATTTTAAGAATCAATTAATTATTATAATGTATTATAACTGTTCATTTATACACACACATATATACATATAAGGCTTAACACTAAAAATCTAGGTCAGGTGGATATTAATAGTTATGTCAGAAAACTAGCTAATTTTGAATTGTTGAGCTGAAGAAAAACAAAAAAACCAGAAAAAATCATGTTTGGAAACCCTAAAATAATGCTTCTTTTTACCATCACTAGTCTTACATTAAAATATCCAAAGGATGTTTTACGGATGTGTTAAAATACTTAAACTACTGAGGTTCATAAAACATGGAATAAGCGTTGGTGCACGTGCTGTCTGTTGTACAGCCACGAAACTGACAAGCAAAAATATTACCGTTGACACAAACAATGGTTGCATCTCACGGTCAGGAATAATATAAATACAGCTGTATTCTGTTACTAAGTTGTACAGTTATACAAAACCTTGCTTGTGATGTTTTCTTTAAAACAGTTGACATTCACCTTTATTTTAGAATTATTTTTCTCTTTATCTGAGAAGATCGTAATAGTATTGCCCAAGTCTCTAAGCAGTCTAAGGGCTCTTCTAATAGTGCTTACACACGGAGCCCCAGGTGGGTCAGCGGTATGTTTACGGATTTCTTCATCTCCAAAATCGGTGTTTTGGTCGTTTGATGGACCAGGGAACTGTGATTTTCTACTGGTGAATGTTAGTGTTGATACAACATGAGGGTCGGAGTAAACCGCACTTGCTCCGACCCCTTTCAGGACAATGTCTGTGTAGGTATCGACAGTTACATTCTGTGTTTTGCACTATATCTCTTAGGTCAGTTCCATAATGCACACAACACATTTCACTAGTTAGAGACTAATCAAATGCATTTTACATAAAAAATACCCTATTAAATGTATTGTTCTTAGTCTAACTAGTGTAGGGTTTAAAGGCTAGTAGTAGTTGGCCGTATTACATCCTTATTTCTAAAGTAAATGTTTACAGGTGAGAGGTACTTAGGCCTATTTCCATCATGTATGTAGTAGCGATCAAGTTGACAGAGTTGGTCGTTCTTTTGCCATTTTTTTTGCAAAGTAATTTATAGTATTATGCAAGAGTCCATCGGCTATTGTTTGTATGTTTGCATGTTTACGGATTTAGAAAGCTTAAATTCGGGGTTGAATTTCCCGCGGTGGACAGAGTGCATATATAACTTATTCTGTAGCTTTGCACTATAAAAACAACAACATAAAACTTAAATGCCTTCACCTCTCTAACAAAAAACTAAATCTATTGGTAATGTTTTAATCATAGGCTGATAGAAGGGAGCCAGCGATTGTAATTCAAATAT